ATTAACACTTCACAACATACCAAGAGAATGAAAATCCAAGAAGAACATGGAAACATTAAAACTATGAGGAAACTCACAAGAAAGAACACAAAAAGCATGAACTCAACAATGGAAGACACACAAAACAAAGCAGCAACACCACAAAAACAAACAAACATAAAAATAGCTCACCTCAGCTAATGTAATGTATTTCATAAACTTATGCTGCATTAGCTCCTGAAGCAAAAGGAACTTTAATCACTGATAGAGCTGACTTCCCACAACAGCTACTTTTTTGTGAAGATCTTTGAGCCTAGCAAGTCTTTACACTGGGGTGACACAGTTTGTTTTTAACACTCTAATTTAATTAAACACTCCCCTGCCCTTTCTCCACTACTCTACAAGCTGACTTGAATTCACATGTGAAGTTCTTTATATTGTGACAATAGATTGAATTGGAACAAGAGGAATAGAGGGGGTTTTGTTGAAATGAATGGTCACACAACTGATTTTTATAATTAACTACTCCAAACCCCAGCTCTCAGCCATCAAGTTGATTCCCATAGCGCCAACTGAATTTCAGTAGCAGTGAGAAATAGCTTACAACTATTATGACTTAAAAATTTCACTATTGGGTCTTTATTCTAGAGAAATAAAATCTTGGTTCATACAAAAATCTGTACTCAAGCATTCATAGCAAATTTATTTGTAATCACTAAAAACTGGCATCAGCCCCCATGCCCTTCAACCTGAATCATGGTACTCAGATAGGTAAAGGAGCAGATACTGATACATACAACAACTGGGAGAAATCCATTGGGAATTAATGCTGAATGAGAAATGGCCATTGCAAAAGGTTATGTACTATAAGAAGCTACTTATTAACATCTTCTTAAATGGCAACATTTTAGAATTGCAGGGCAGTTTAGTTGTTGCATTATACACAGCAAGTAAAACTTTAGCAATTTAAGTAAGATTAGTGGATTGTATCAATGCCTCTCCCATAAAAGTGGTAAGGAGGCCCTGAAAGACCAATGGTAAGAGGGTTTTGGTGAGTAACATAGATGTTAGAGTAGAAAGAATGAAAATTCCTGGTATTTAAATTTAAAATTGCCCGAAAGTGGCAACAAGTTAAAGAAAAATTTTATTATTAATTTAAATTATGCAGACAACACAGAAAGACATTCTTTTTGTGAAAAGTTAGCATACACATGTAAGGGTTAGGCTTAGTATGCATCTTTCCAGGCCATTTTCTGTACATTTACATATGCTTCAAGCCAGCCTTGCAGTTCAGTATGTGTATATGGCACAGGGAAAAAAAAAAAAAAAAATTGTTTTAATATAACAGTATCATTCTGTCTTTATTGTTTTAAAATTTGCCTTTTCCCTAAAAAAGACCTCATTAGTTTTTCCATATTAACACAACAGACAAGTCTGGTTGTTATTTTATCTGCTGGGTATTGTGATCAGTGTGGCTGCACCATAGGGCTCCATCCAGTTCACCATCCCCTGTTGACGGCTGTTTTGGTGATGGCCCATTTTTCACTAATACAAATAAATGCTGCTGCAGCGGAACATCCTAAATACATACATGTATGTATGTGTCTCTAAGGTAAACACTAAGAAGTACAATTGCTGCTTAACAGAATATGATCTCTTTTGTATATCCAATTATCTTTCAAAATATCTGTTCCAATTTATACTCTTAACTAGCAGCACTGAAGGCGCTGGGCTGCAGTCAGTTTGAATCATAAGGTCAGTGGTTCAAGGTCACCATTTGCTCCTCAGAAGCTCTATACAGGGTCATTACGGGTTGGCACAGACTTCAACGGCACTTAACAACAAAAAGCAGCACTTGAGTATCTTTTTCCGTACATGACCATCATCACATGAGAATAACAAACTTTCGTGTCTTTGCCGGGCAATAGGTTAAATGTGGAGAATGAGAATGACAGTTTACTCATTCGCTTCATCTGCTCTTCTTCCCACACTAAAATCTGCCCCAGAGGCCTTCTATAATATGGTTTGGTAAATTTTAATGGTGGCTGTATTTAATAATAAAAGAATAAGTGCCGTTGAGTTCGTTCCAACTCATAGTGACCCTATGGGTTTCTGAGGAGTGACCCTCATAGGGTTTCTGAGGAGCAGCTGGTGGGTTTGAAATGCTGGCCTTGTGGTTCACAGTCTAGTGCTGATTCTGCCGTGCCACATTAGGAGTCTGGGTGGCTGTATTAGGGAGAGGGAAAATGGGTGGTCTAAGCCATCTGTTTTATTGATAGTGTCTGTAATGACCAATGCACTTACTTGAAATAAAACTTTCAATTTTAGGAGCCCCTCCAGTTCCTGACAATGATATTGGAAAGCTCCATGCTCAGTCACCAATGGATCTATGGAAAAAAGTGTATGGAAAGCTCTTTCCACCAAAGGTATGTATGTCTAATTCTTTTAAAGTAAGATGCGTTTAGCACTATTCAGCAGTTATTGGAAAGTGTTCCAAAGGGCCTCCTATTATAGGTTTTTATATCTTGTGCTTAAGAATCAATTAAACAAATATTTGCTTAGGCTCTGTTGTGTGCGAGGCAATGCTTGAGTTAAAAAATGAGTAAGACCCAGTGTCTTCTCTACTTAGAAACAGAGTTCTTTGGATATCAGAGAAGGGAAAGACAGTATCTGAAAGGAGGAGGAGGCAAGAGTACCTGGTGGGATTTGAAATGGACCTCAGTGGTGGTGATAAAAGCTCAAAAGATCACAGAAAGTCTTTAGTGCCAGGATGAGGAACAGGGACTCTGTGTTAGGCAGGTGGTCAAAAGTGAAGGTTTGAGGCCTATACATGAAATCATATGAAGATTTGTAATTTCAGAGTACCAACACACTAAAAGATATCAAGGACCCTGCACAAGACCCTAAGTATGCTGAAAGTGAAGTGGATGAGATGAGAATTCAGAAGGATCAGGTATTATCGTAAACTTTGACTTGATTTCATATGGAATTTTATCACTAAAATAGCTTTGGAATTTCTATAGATTTTTCTTCACTTCCATAGGACTTTTTTTTGGGGGGGTGGGGTAGGGGGTGAGTGGGAGATTTATTTTTAAAATTATTAAAATAGTGCATCTGCACTGTAGGGAAAGTCTGTCTGATATGCATGCATAAAAAAGAATTTAAACATCACCAGTCGTCCCATCACCCAGAGGTGGCTTCATATCCCTGTGTACTTTCTGGCATTTCCAGTTTACTTTGTTAAAGACAGACAGTGATCCATTCTTAACATGCAGCTGAAAAGACACATTCAGAATATTATTTTGTTTGTGGAATCATCCAAAGTATTTTGTTAATCATAGGATGTTGTATCAGAAAACCTGTCGTGTCCAGTCTAGTACTGGTTTTGTTGTTAAGTGCCTTCAAATTGTTTCCAACTCATAGTGACGCTGTATAGAGTTTACAAGGAGCACCAGTGTAAAAAATTACAAACATAGCTGATAGAATCCTGGATCTTTGAGGATAGTGGCTAAAGTTGGAAACTACCATTTCCATATATGCCCACATAGTCCCACTCATGACGCACAGCTAATGTCAAAGTGCAAAAGTTGGTAATTTTGTCATGACTTAACATTTTATCAGATCTGCTTTTAGTTTGATAAAATGAGATATTGAATAGACTCTGACCTTATTTGAATAAGTGTGTGTGTGTATATATATATATATAATGTTGCTGTTGTTGTTGAGCGCCATCAAGTCAGTTCTGACTCATAGTGACCCTGTATAGGGTTTCCAAGGAGTGGCTGGTGTGTTTGAAGCACTGACCTTGTGGTTAGCAGTACAGTGCTTATACTACAGAGCCTCACAGGACCCCTTAAATATAGCATTGTTGTTAAGAGCTGTTGAGTCTGTTCTAACTCACAGCAATCCTGTGTAGGGTTTCCGAGGAGCAGCCACCAACCTTGTAGTTCAAACCGACCTTGTGATCCAGTGTTTTATCCTACAGTGCCACACCAGAGCACTATCAGTTAAAAGGAGTCCTGGGATGGTACAGATGGTTAAGTGCTTGGATACTAACCGAAAAGTTGGAACCCACACAAAAGAAGCACCTCAAAAGAAAGGTCTGGTGATCTGACAAGGCCACAGCTCTGAAAACCCTGTGGGGTACAGTTGTGCTCTGTGACACATGGGGTCACCGTGAATCAGAATCAGCTTGAAGACAGCTGGTTTGGGGTTTGGAAGGGGTTAGGATCAGCTGAAAGGCATGAGAGCCTCTCAGAGGGGACGTGCAGAGCTGCGTAGTCACACAGTTGTGAAATAGCTGAAGACACTGAACTGTCAGCATGAGCCTTTTGCCTTCAGTGGCCCTTTACTAGAATAAGTTAAGAGTTCTATCAAAGTTTAGCAAAACATTTAAACAGTCCAAAAGTCAAAACCATGACATTTATGCAGACTTTTGAAAGGTACACCATGAATATTTATGAGTTCTATAGCAGTGTCTCATGTTGAAGAGTTCATAAAGTGACCTCAGGTAACCTTTGTCATGTGTGCTGCTTGGCTGTGGAGATTAGTTGGAAATCATCCCTGGATTAATATTTTATCTAGGGGTCAATAATTAATTGCCATTGTTGATAAGAGTGTCAGTTTATATTGCATAGTGATCACCTTGGGGAACGTAGTGGCTGCATAAGATAAGCGCTGGGCTGCAAGCCACAAGGTCAGCAGTTCGAGCCCACCAGTCACTCCGTGGGAGAAAGATGAGGCTTACCATTCCTGTAAAGAATTAAAACCTCGAAAACCCATCCAGGGTCTGTGTGAGTCAGAACTGACTTGACGGCACTTAACAACAACAACAAATTATTTCTGAACATCATGGGTTTTCACATCCAAAATCCTCTCTTCCTTGACTTGAAGCCATAGGAATTTTGAGTAGAACTGAGACTTTCTGCTCCCATTAAGATTTACAGCTTCGGAAACCCTCTACGGGGTCGCTGTGAGTCAGAAGCGACTTGATGGCACATCCAATTAGCAATGGACTGCTAACTGCAAGTTTGGCAGTTCAGACTCACCAGCCACTCCTCAGAAATCTTATACAAGGTTGCTGTGAGTCAAAACTGACTTGACAGCACTTTAACAACACAACAACATAAGAGAATTCAGCTGCATTAGTCGAAAATCTAGTCAGTTATCTACAACTCTTTCTTCACATTGTCGAACTCTCTTTTTATTCCTTAAATATTATTATTGCTGTGTGCCATTTTTCAGTGAAAATAGCATTATCATCTTTTAGATTTGATTTGACTTGACAGTTGAAACATTAATATTCTATTTTTTAAAAATATTTAGCTCCTTCTAAATTTTAAATGCCTGGGAGTTTTCCATGATTACATGAGAATGTGTTCTTGCTTAAAAGGCAGCCTGTAAAGGCTACATTTCTAACCCATATAATTATTTCTGAGCCTTGTGTTTTGGGGAAGAATATGGTCTCTCAGAGGAGGACTGACTTGGAGCCTGCCCTCCACCAGGTGTGATCCTTCTTTTGATTCCCATCCCACCCAAACCCCATTAATAAATCATCATCATCATCCTGGTGTGGCACTCACTATAGGATAAGCACTAGACTGCCAGGTCAGCAGTTCAAACTCATCAGCCACACCTTGGAAAACCCTACACAGCATCACTTTGAGTCAGAACTGACTTGACAGTCTTATCAACAACAACAACAACAACAAATCGCCATCAGGAATGAAAATGAGCTTCCAGACCTTTATACTTTGGCAGTGAGATGAGAATGTGTCACTTCTCGGATGCAGAGGCTAACTCATGATATTTCATTACATTCCTCCAACACTTGAACCTTCAAAAGAGCCTCAGGTAACATAGGTCATTCGATAAGACAAGTTCACCCATTCCTCTGCCCCAGAAGAGTTGCATTTAAACTGCACTTGTATTAAATACATTGAGAGAAAAAGCTGTACCACAATACCCCATAGCTTATTTTTAAGTCCTCTGTAGCAAAACCTTTCTTTTCTGGTAGCAACCCAGAATCCCTCTTGTCCCAGGCCCTCAGAGAGATTCTGGCTCTCTCTAAGAGCCTTTCCTCGGTGGGTTTCTCTGCTCTGATTTCTCAGTGTTCCTTTTTGTCAGACACCACACAGGCAGGCAGGCACCAGAACACACCTGACCTCTAGTTACTTTTTTCAAAATCCTCTAGTTTTAAAGCAGGAACACTGGACTGCTAATCAAAAGGTCGACAGTTCAAACCCACAAGCCACTCAGTGGATGAACAATGAGACATTCTACTTCCATAAAGATTTCCAACCTCAGAAATCCTATACAGGGTTGCTGTGTGTTGGATTTGACTCGCCGGCACCTAACAACAACAACAGTTTGAAAGCATTTCTGATTTTAAGAAAATGTGTTGGTGGAAGGCACTTGCCGTATCCTTCTACTTCTTTTCTATATTTTTATTGTCAAAGCAAAAAAGGTAAGTTTTCTTTTTCCCTTTTGCGGTCATCGCTGAAGCAGTAGTTGCCAAAATGAAGTTCAATCCCTTTGTGACTTCTGACCAGAGCACAAACCGTAAAAGGTACTTCAGTGTGCCTTCCCACATTCGCAGGAAGAGTATGTCTTCCCCTCTTTCCAAGAAACTGAGACAGAAATACAATGTTCAGTCCAAACCCATCCAAGCGGATGATGAAATTCAGGTTGTTCAAGTACACTACAAGGGTCAGCAAATTGGCAAAGTAGTCCAGGTGTACAGGAAGAAATCTGTTATCTACACTGAACAGGTGCAATGAGACAAAGCTAACGGCACAACTATCCATGTGGGCATTCACCCCAGCAAGGTGGTGATCACTAGTCTAAAACTGGATCAAGACCGCAAAAAGGTCCTCGAACTAATGCAGAATCTCACCAAGTAGAAAAGGGACAGGGCAGGTATAAGGAAGAAATGATTGAGAAGATGCAGGAGTAAAATAATCTTGTATACAACTTCCATTAAAAACTTCCAAAAAATTTTTAAAAGCTTTAAGTTTGAGTTTGTTATTGTTGTATGCCATCGAGTTGGTTCTGACTCATAGCGACCCTGTATGAGGTTTCCGAGGAACAGCTGGTGAGTTTGAACCACTGACCTTAAGGTTCAAACTGACTTTGTGGGCCAGTGCTTTATCCCACAGCGCCACACCAGGACTCCATAATTTTGGGTAAACAGTTATTTTTAAAGGCTTCTTGGCTCACTACAAGGTGCCTAGGTGGTGCTATAGGATAAGTACTAGACTTTTAACTGCAAGTTTGGGGTTCAAACTCACCAGGCACTCGTCAGAAACCCTATACGGGGTCACTATGAGTAGGAACCAACTTGACAGCAATTAACAAAAGCAAGTGGCTTTCAAGAATCAGGATGGCAAACCTTTCTTGGTTTTGCCTTTACTTCGGCTTTCCAAAACAACCAGGAAGAATCAATGTAAAGAATAACCCTCTTACCTGCCAGCTCTTTAAAACATCACCATAGTGCTTTGGGCTTACACAACAGACATGTTGAAGACGTAGGGAACTTGAGGCTCTGAATCCCACCCATCACCCTTTATTCCTCCTCCAGCATCGCCTTGTGCCTAGCCCCGTTTTTCTCTCAGTTTGCTCTCTTCAGAAGAGAGTTACTGTTAGCAGAGAATCTCAAAAGAAGGTCCTCGCCTTGATCATTAGTAAAAACAATTCAACACTCCCACTTAAAGGCAGAGTTCACAACTACCAATTACTGTTGATCCTTTTTGAGATAACAACTCTGAAACCCTAAGCGATAGAAGGCATGACCTGAATCAACTTCATTAGAAAAAGAAACCAGGCTATGAAGATGACTTCGCAGTTATTTCGGTGTCATTCTCCCAAAGTCTGGCTACACATAAAGACTTTAACATTTAAATTTTAATAACTTAGACTATCGATGTGAAAGAGACAATCTGCAATTTTTCCGAAAATGAGAATGGAATTTTCTTTTCATAACTACTGTGAACTTCAATTATGTTAGCGAAAGGGCAGTGATTGCCTTATCTGAAATAGTAACATTCTCTGAACTGCCTTGGAGACTTTGAATAACATTTGGAGGCCAGGAGACAACCCCCTTAGATTATCCCTTTTGCACATCAATTGTCTCAGTCAGAATCGCTACCTCTAAAACGTACCTCTATTGATGAGTTGTAACATAACATGGATTCATTGTGATTTTTTTGTTGTTGTTACATATGGCAGTTTATGAAATAGAAAAGGGAAGTGCCCTGACCTCTCACCATCTAGTTGCTCTTTTCCTGTTGTATGTATGAGCTCCGTTACTTTTGTTGGCTGTCTGGAAAGTCATGTGTGGATGAATGCTGATGTAGCTCTGTTCTTACTAGAGCGTCTAAGTCATTTCCATCTGTGTGCGGATGACACAGTGTTGCAATGAGTATTCTATTTATATCCTTGTGCATGTCTCTGTTATTTCTATATGATGAATTACTAAATGTAGACTTAGTGGGTGAGGATATATACATTGTAGATAGTGATATTTTACTCACTTCAACCAGGTTTTTGACAAGAACAGGAGAGCAAACAGTTAAAAATAAGATCACTTTTAAAAATACTTGAAGAGAGGAACAAACAAGATGGCGGATCGAGTGGAGGTGTAGTACAGAGCTCTACCAACAACAACACAGAATACCCAACCAAGCAGGCTCAGGGGATGGTCCCAGAACTCTGAACCACATATAAAGAAATATTTAGAAGATTGAAAGGCTTACAGCTGGGGGAATTTGTGGCAGAAGCAAGAAATCCATTGCTTTCTAGTCCAGGACGCTCAGCCGATCCAGGAGCCGCCATCTTGGGTGAGACCAAGCGGAGGAAAGATTGAAGCAGCCATAGACGCCTGACAGAACCGCAGAGATAAAGTTGTGGACGTTATTTTCTTTTGGTAGCTGTTCATTGGTCCCTTGCTGTCTGCGCACCTCCATTCTGGTGACTAGTGGCACCCCAGCCCCACCCTCGGAGGGTTCTACTACGCATGCACATAGATCTCCTCGAAATTTAAAGAGACAGTTTCCAATTAAAACCAAATGGCTACAGCCGGCCCTAAACTGTTTCCAACTAGAAAAAAGAACTGAACAGGGATTGTGGAGCGGGACAAGCAGACAGAAGAGGAAATAGGCCGAAAATTAAATCCTAAGTTACTTCAAAATGATCAAAAGTGGTATCTTAAAATTTCTCAAGAAGAAGAGTGAAAAGGGAAGCCCATTTCCAGATCACATCTACCTGACGGCAATCAGAAAGCATAAAAAATACCAAAATACATACCCATCTAAGTATTAAGTCCACAGGTAACCCCTGAAGATGCCCAAAAAACAGAAGCAGATGACTATATCTGCACATGTCCAGAAACGAGATAAAGTGACTGAGGCAAATGAGCCAGAAAAGTAGACCTACACTCCATACTGGAAGATGGACAGGCTTTGGAAATGCCTGAGAAAGAATTCAGAAAAATGATTATAAAATGTATCAAAACACTACACAGTGGAGTTGAGGAAAATAAGGAAGAAGTCAGGAAAGTGCTA